CTCTCTCTCTCTCTCTCTCTCTCTCTCTCTCTCTCTCTCTCTCTCTCTCTCTCAGGTAAATATAACCTGCATTGCATTAATACAACAACTTTATTTGTAAAAAATGCGTTTACCTGCAGTAGAACTGAGATCCATCTTTAACTAGATATCCATCATAATGAGCATTCAGCATGTCTCCTCTCTTGGCTTTCTGGCTGCAGTTTTCTGGCAGAAACGTAACCTCAATTTTAACATCTTGATTTGATTCATTTGCCCGAATCAATACGATGAAGGGGTTGAGGGTTTGCAGAGACCAAATCAAACAAAAGTAAAATGTAAACCGCGGGGACATCTTGCACATCTGTCGGCGTGGCGACGGGGGCCGGACAGCTGACGCGGCAGCGCCGCCCAGTACTCAAATTTCGCACATCACTTTTGGGATGTTATTAAAAATCCGCGTGAGTTTATGTGTTGAATCTAAGCAAACTATACATTTTAAGGCCAATTCACACTGCACAGACAAACGCCAACAAACATGTGAACATGACAGTTATTTTTCATAAAATTCTAAATCCAACGGCCAACTTTGATCGTGTTTGTCTGTGTGGCGTGAACTGGCCTTTAGAAGAACATTAATCCGTTTCTTAACTAACGTCAGAGGAGTTCAGTAAAGTTGGCAACATATTCACGGATTCGAATTTCCCGGATCAATAACTCGTGAGCTTAAAGTTATTACTACACAAATAACACCTCTTTTCAATCGTAGTTACGTAGACAACGAGCTACAACCAAATTTTCCTCAAAACGAGCTTTCCTCCGCACTGGACAAAATACATTGATCTCTATGCGCAGACGGCTGAGAGACAAGTCCGAAGGGATCGTCTTCAAAGTGCAAAACCCGAAAAGCCTTACTACAAAAAGAGTCTGGTTCCGTCAAGGTAGTTCTCTCCCAAAGGGGGTAATTTTCCCCCACTCTACCCTACTTTTGAGGAAGAAACATTTGAAAAAAACAAATTTATGATCAGAAATAAACCTTACACTGGTGGGTTTATATAGATTAAGTGGGTGTTATAGATTTAGAATAGATTCAGATAGACGTAGGCTGAATGGTATGTATATAATATAATCAGTCGCCTAACAGCAAGAAAGAATTATATCAATTATAGAATTACTGTAGGAATAATCATAAAATAATTTTGCTGTTTTAAATAGGCGATGTCAATAGATAATGTCCATTTAATTGTTACTAGACATCAGTTGAACATTATTTTATGTTTTTTTTTTTACCCTTTAAAATGCGTTTTTAAATAGTGCAAGAAACTTGGCAATGTTGCTGCTCTCCTGTTTCAAATGACTGATTCAAGCAGGTCATCCTGTTAAACAACATTGGCTGAAATCCGATAAAACTGAAAGTGAACCTGCTTTAAACAAAAACAACATTTGTTGTTTAAACCAACTATGAAGACATGAAGCTATTATTCAAAGACTGAGTAAACATAATTCATACATCAAATATGAAATTAAGTAGCATTCACACACAGACAAACATTTTATGGTGCTGAAAACATGCTTTATTAAATCAGTAATTCATAAAACTCAAGGAGGCTGAATATATGGGTAAAACTACATAAATTAGTTCTAATAAATCAATGTGCAGGGTATTACATCCATGTATTTTTCTTTTCTTTGCACAGCACATGAAGTCTCTGTGGTACATTACTTGATGGATACCCTGGCTGCTGACAAAGTGAGATTCTAACGCTAACACACACACAAACACACAAAATATAACCTAGCAATCCTCCAAGAGTTGGCACAGCTTCTGCAAAGAAGCACTTGAATTGATTTTACAATTAATGGCCAGGTGGTGTTACTTTCATAAAATCAAAATTCAAACAGTCCGTTGCCAGTAACTGTGCACAAACATTATCATTAACTCATTGTGCAGGCCGCTCGCACATTGAGCTTGTCATTAAAATGGCGGTATGACTTCGTCAGTCTGAACACAAGGCCTAGTTGCCCTGCTTACATGAGGGTAATGCAAACAGCACTCAAGGTCTTACGTTCAAGTCATAAATTCTTGTGTACTGCATTACTGCATGCACAAATGGACAGTGCATAACTTCGTCTCTCTGATTTTAGTTAACTTCAACAGGGAGCCTCTCTACCTGTTGAGGCAATCTTAAGACTTCAACTTATTGTTGAGGCACAGAGTTTTGCTTTGTTTCAGGTTTTACAGGGTATTCGTTCCATGTGAAACTTTCTCCTGTTAAACATTTAGTTCCACTTGTTTCATTTCTTAATATTGTCATAAATAACAATTCATACATTTTCCATAACCGGTAAATTCGGCTATATACATTATGTACATGTCAAAAAATGGTGCTGAACTTCTGATCATAATTATCCAATATGGCACATTTTATAGCAACTTTAGACTTTAGTCTAGTTTGGCATAAATTAATGTCAAGTTTGGTATAAAAATAGTTCATATTTACAAGAACAGAAATCCAGGTCTTTATCAAGAACTGAGTATTTTTTTTCTCATTCTATAAATAAAAAGGATTTGAATGAGGGAAATGGGGTGAGGATTGTATAACTATTTTATCTTTGTTTTGTTTTTTGTTTTTTTTTACATCGATCGAATCCTGACATTGACAGTAGTGGTATCAAATCCAAACTCATTAAAAAGTTTTAAGGTGTATGCACCAGCATCAGTCTCTTTCACTCCACTTATAACAAGAGTGGTGATATCTTGAGAAGTCTCAATCTGCAATCGTCCACTCTCCTCCTTGCTGGACAGTGTCTTCCCTGAATGTGACCATTCTATGGAAGGGGCTGGGTCTCCAGTGAAAGCACAGGCTACAGCCAGGTCCTTCCCTGACTCAATACTGATATCTTGAGGGGCAGCCTCAATCTTTGGTGGTATACCTGGTTAGAGGACAAACAAATTAATCTGTTATTATGGTGATATAGCTCTGCTGATTTGCTGAACTGTAAATGTTTTTTGGCAAAGATGCACAGACTTTCCATCTCACCTTTGCGGCCATGAGAAATGGCTTTGATGGATGACCCCTCAGCATGCGAGTGACTGGACATTGCCATCATACTGCTGGAGCTCATAGCTATCATTCTTTCAGAAGTCATGGAGGTCATGCTAGATGCTGACATGCTCTCAAATTTAACCTCAGCCATGCTGGAACTGCTGAAGGATGTCTCTTGCATTTTTGAAACCACATGCTTGGCAGCATAACTTCCCTGCATGCTCGTAGCATCAGAGGCTTTCTCCACAATTATCATTTTGGCAGGTTCCTCAACCAGAGCTGTGAGAGTACAGCAAATACCATGTCACTGATGCAATTTATTTCATAAAAAGGTACAACAGGCAATTCAAATGGTGCAACTGGTCTCTGTTTCCTGTTTGAAACATTTGGGCATATTTAATGTAAAGTATATTGGAACATTTTTGATAGCATTGGTATTACTAAAATAAATAATGCTCCAGTTGCACCACTTACAGATTGTACCCTTAAGAAAATTCAGTTGGTAATGCTAATCAAAAAATATAATCTTTTGATTATTCTGACTTTATTCTCAAACATTTTTGTCAAATGAATCAAACTATGTGATGCATGGTTAATGGATGGTAAAAATGGATTGGATATTAATATCCTTGAAAATTCATACCGTTAACGTTATCACTATGCCAACTGCAAATGCATTTATATTATTTGGTGCCTTTTTATTATGTACTGTGGTAGTTAAATTCAGTAGGTCAAAATGCAATCCAACAAAGTCAAAGGGATCTTAATCTTAAAGGGTTAGTTCACCCAAAAATGAAAATTAGCCGATAAATTACTCTCCCTCAAGTCATCCTAGGTGTATATGACTTTCTTCTTTCAGACGAATCCAGTCGGAGTTATATAAAAAATTGTCTTTGATCTTTCAAGCTGTTTCATGCCACTCAGCGGGTGTTGCATGCATCAGTCCAAAAGAAGTTAAATACAAAGCGCCCATCCATAAAAAAAAGTGTCTCACACGGCTCCGGGGGGTGAACAAAGGCCTCCTGTAGCGAATCGATGCGTTTTTGTAAGAAAAATATCCATATTCAAAACGTAATAATCACTTTAATGTAGCTTGCGCCAACAGTCCTATGCGGAAGCAGCTCCGGGCGGATGACGTATGAGCTCAGCGCTGCGCATGCACCAGTAAGTCTCGTGAAAACCAACGTTTTAACAGGAGCAAAGGAAGCAAAGTTTCCTTACTTTAGCAAAGGAAAACCAGTCTCCTCTTGGCTCATATCGAAATCCTCCGACATTCTTCTTTACAAATCCTCGTTTTGTACTTCTAATTAGTGACCGTTGTGTTGTTTTGATCTCTCCCCTGCGCTTCCGCATGCGTCACTTCTGAGCGGCGCATGTGCAAAGCCGACCTCCATACGTCATCCGCCCGGAACTGCATCCAGTGTACAACAGTGAGCGCAAGCTAGATTAAAGTGATTATTACGTTTTGAATATGGATATTTTTCTTACAAAAACGCAACGATTCGCTACAGAAGGCCTTTGTTCACCCCC